GTGTATGAAATGTGCTATATAAATAAACTTGCCTTGCCTTGTATTATTTGTTATACGCATGTCTAATTTATTTATTTATTAACTGATTACGTTAAAATTGGATTTGTTTGAATAAAATAAATAAATACATAGATAAAGTAATAATACTTTGTATTATGTTTATAATAGTGCAGTATTATAGTGAGTAGAAAAATATTTAGTATGTGTTTTAATATAAACTAAATATTTTCAAAATAACATTTGACATATTTTAATATTGTACATGACAATTTATAGCTGCATTTTAACTTGTAGAATGGGGGCCCCTCCCATGAGGATGATCATATTTGGGGGTCCGTTGCATTTAAAAGATTTAAAACTCCTGCTCTAGTACATTTGAACAGATGTATTCATATGTATTACGACGAAAGGCAGCCAATCACAGCGCAGAGATTTGACGCATGCTCAGACGTGGAGCGAGAGAGAGCTCGTGTGAATCCGTCTTCGCTCGGCAACTGTTCGTACATCTTCGTGCGCAGTTCGGCATGTTCCGCACACACCTCGGATCCTGTCGATCGTGAATTAGGGCTGTATCTCGTCCCCCTCGTTCTCTGTGTGTTGTTGTCCTCGGTGACGCGACGGAGGTGTAGCCTGACGCGGTCTCTTACGCGTCGGACTAAATAAAAGTGGAGCTGCGGAGGCCTGGGAGTGACGAGGCGAGTCTGTGTCGGGTAAGAAGAGACGCATTCGTGGGGGAAAGAGATAATACACGTGCCGTTGTAGTGGACATGTTGCAATGCTCGATCCGTCTGTAACAAAGAGATCATGGCGGCGGTGGGCATGTTTCTCAACAGCTCCGACTTGCTTGCAGACAATGAGTCAGTCAGGCAGTCGAGTGAGGAAAGCGCGACGGTTCTGCAAAGCAACTTACATGCGTTTATGGAAAGGATAGGAGATGCGTACTAGTGTTATGAATGCGATCGCCCGTCCACGGCACCCTTTGATGGAAATACAGCTCATGAAATGATTTTTTTTCTTGGCTCCAGCACTGCTTTATGGAGCAGTCGAAGCTCTCCGTTACATTAAAGATCTTTACTACATTCTCGCCCATGCAGAGGTTTTCTGTACCACTGTAATCCATTGTGGTTTTAATTGGTAAAAAATCAAAGAGAAATGCATTGCTCTTGAGTATTATTTTCTTCAAAGTACACCCTAAAACAGACATGCTTCATTTAAACTGGAACGCTATTTTACAAGTCGAAACACGCCTGAAAATGCAAGCACTTGTGTTCATTGTTTTGCTTGACCTAAAATAGCCATAAATAGGCATTTAAAAATAAAAAAATAAGTAATTTTGATGGCATCCTGTTTGTGTATGTGTGTTTTGTTTGAACTACGTCCATAAATCCTAAAAATAAAAACCAAAGCTCAAATCTGACTGACAGCTGTATACGGAAGTAAAAAAGGCGGCAAAATGGAGTCACCATGGTTTGAGCACGATGCTTAATATGTCAGTTCTAACATTATTACTCATTACAAAACAGACATAGGTCCATTAAAATGAATTTCGTTAATAGAAATCAAGCATAGCTCGTACATGTGTTAGCGCATGTGGCTACTTTTGATGCTATTCATATTTTAATCAGTATTTTTCACATTAATTTTGCAATGCCATATATAGGCTATTCTTGTCGTGTAAATACATTTAGACTATAAATGCAAACATTTCACTCCTCTAATAATGTCAAAAAATGTTATATCATATATTGCATTGTATTATTTATTATATACATGAATATTTTATTTAATTAATTATTAATTTCTTAAGTTAAAATGTAATGCCTATAAATACATAAATGCTTTATAGGACAACCCTTCAGGCTACACAGTTGAATACTCAAAATGAAACTATGGCAAACCCAATTTGTGGGCAGGGTGTTTTTGTGGTCACACCGGTTCAGATACCATTTCCCTTGTCAGGAGACATTGGTATTGGTGGCCTACTTTGTATGTTCATAGTATATTTATAGTATCTTGTATATCTGCCAAAGTAAAAGATTTTTCAATGAAATCTCCAGGCAATCTTAATGACCATGGAGGCAGGAGCAGATGTCCAGCAGGGCAACACTGCAGTCTCAGAGACAGACACTCAGCAGATAGCCACCTTGGCGCAGGTCAGTTTCTTGGATCGTATGTTTTCAAAGCACATTTGCTAGCATTGCCAGGCTGACTTTAATTATGCATGTAGTTGTGGGTTGATATTAGGGCTGGACGATATGGCCAAAATTTATATCACGATATATTTCTTAATTTCGGTCGATACGATATAATTCCGATATCGATATGAACACTATTAAAAAAGCCTCATAAAAACGGCCAAGAACGGCCACAACAGATGTCTGTACCTACAAACGTATGAAAAAATAATTTGCCAACTCTATGAAACCTACTCCTATAAAACTATATAATATTTTAGGAAAAAAAATGGCACAAATAAATGTTCACCTTTTATTGGTATTTAGCCTTCATACAAACAAGAAATGTGAAATCACTGCCAAATAAATCTCAGACTCTCCTTATTAATATTTTTTACTTCAAACTATAGGCTAACATACCAGTCAGAAGATTTTGAACAGTAAGATTTTTAATGTTTTTTAAAGAATTATCTTCTGCTCACCAAGCCTGCATTTATTTGATCCAAAATACAGCAAAAACAGTAACATTTTGAAATAATTTTACTATTTAAAATAACTGTTTTCTATTTGAAAATATAATTTATTCCTGTGATTTCAAAGCAGAGCTT